ACATTTTGAAGGCAAGGTAGTCACTTTGCAATGAGCACTCTTGGATTTTGAGTGTTATTTCACTAAAGGTATTTTACATTACAGTACATGATCCAAACTACAAATAGAAAATAGCAAAACATAAATGTCCTAGAATTTTACAATTCTTAAGGGCTGTTTTATGTGCCATGAATAGAAATAATGATGCTGTTTAATGAAGTAATTTTACAACCTAGAGAAGACAGAGCCTCAGGCACTAAGCCATTTGTCACACATGGTCTCCTTGGGCAGTCTCTCCTAGTCACTAGGACTATTCTCTACTTGGAGTCCTAGCTGAATGGAAGTCACTTGGGTACAATCACTTCATCACTTGAGATTGCTTTCTTTTATAGAAGCTCAGACACTAGAATGGCTGTTCTGAAAGTCAAAGGCAGCTATGATCTGTCACTATACCCCAAAGTCCCTGGTATTCCTGGGAGGAGAACCCTACCATCATGTGAATGTTATTCCATAGACACCGTGTTCTCCAGATATTCTAGATGCAATTTATTATTACTAGGTGCTCATTGAAGCATCTTTATAAAGAAAGAGATGCCAAATTCATTAGCACAAGGTATGTGACTAAATATAAGACTCAAGACTCAATTACTTAGTCTTGAGCAAGCTATTTTCAAGTCAACAGAGCTGTTACCAAATCATGTTCCTTCAAAAAGCTACCACTGGATGTCTTCAAAGTATGAATGTGGAAGGAAGAATTTTTCCCTCTGATTTCTAACGTCCCGCAGTTATTTGGACTGTTATATTGAAGTGTTCTTCAGAACAGCATAGGAACCCAGCGGTGCCAACAGAAAGCACAGCCACCGATTTCTCAGCCTCCCTCCTGTGTTTTTGCAGCTTCACGTCTTTGATGTAAAATGTTACTTGAGAGTCTCGTATGAAAAACACTCTCAGATGTATTTGCTTTTTAATATTATGAAATTGCAACAGAAATTGGATTGGTTCTTTATAGGACCCTGTGCTCATGAAGTTAAGCTTTAAGGGGTTGAAAACTCTTTAACAATACTTACACAGATTAAGTATTTCTAAATAACATCATGGCATAGATGAGACAATGGACTATAATTTTGTGCTTCAGTAATTGTTTCTGATGTTCCTGTTTTTAACATTTTTCTTTGACATAGTACTCAGATGCATTGAATAAATGAAGTATACCAAGAACGTTGTCCTCTTTCTTCCCCTATTTCTGCATAATTGTGCTAATATACTAGCTAGGGCAGTTATATTTAAAATGGCATGTATATATTTAGCAGCATAATTATGCAAATTCTGTGTTTATGATTGTAAATATCCTTTAGGAGCAGTTACTTAGCATGTAGTCCTGAAACAATTTTCGAAGGATTCTGGTTAAAATGTTTAGAATTCACTCCTGAATTAACTTCTCTGTTGTGTGAAGGTGGGCCTTACAGTTCACATTTGCAAGGCAGAATAGTGCACAGTGGTAAACAGTATGGAATATGTAGAATTCTTTAATAGTCCTGGACATTTTATGCCACTTACTGGCTTTGCGGCCTCGGGTAAGTTACTTAACCTCTCTGAGCCTCAGTTTCTGCATCTGTGAAATGCAGATGACGATAGTACATACCTCACTGGGTTGTCATGATGATTACATCATATAATGTACAGAAACTACTTCGCACAGTGCTTGGCTCATAAAAGGCTCTCAACAAATGATAGGTGCCATTCACCTCCTTCCTACACATCACCCAGGAATGCTACATGTCAGCCTCGTTACCAAGATATCTAAAAGAGTTCAGGGCCAGATTCTGAGCTGTCCTTGGAGGAGGAAGTATGGCATGAGCTCCACCCTTGTCACTTTGTCCATGTCAGAAACAATGGGGGAAGCACATCGGAGTGCTGAGGACAAAAGTTCCAGACTCAAGTTCTTTTGACCAGAGAATTATTCTTCACCTTTGACATGTGTCTGAGTGGAGTTAGCAGGGAGTGTTTAGGTCTTTCAGCAATAGTGACTCTAAATGTAGACAGAGCGAGAGAGAGAGTGTGTGTGTATGTGTCTGTGTGGGGGTATGTGTACGTGTGTCTGTTTCGTGTGTGTCATGTGTCTGTGTCTTTGTGTGTCCATGTGGTATGTGTGCGTCTCTGCGTGTCTGTGTGTCTATGTGCAGGTTTCTAGGAAAAGAGAATCTAACCAGCCCACATATAACCAAGCACTCCAATTCCACCCTCTAGAGATAAGCTGATTACAGGTGGAGAGTCACCTTGGCAAGATGTATGAGATAAAATTCTTCCTCTGCTATTTCACATTATGGGGAACGAAAAATGTGAACATGTAACATTACATTCATAACTACCATCATACGTCAGAGCACAGTGGTGATAATGACAGTGTATTTTAGGTGAATATTCATCTGTTTAGTCAGTTTTTCTTATATTTGTTAAACTGGTAAGAGAATAATTTAGATTTTCTAAAAAGGTTCTCTAACATGTAAAACTCAAGTCCATAGAATTTTCTGAAATTTTACAAAATGGAAGTCTCTGAGGTTGGCAGATCTTTTTTTAAAAAAGGGAGTGGAGGCCCTAAAAGAACACTCACAGCACCAAAAGCTAAAATCCTTCAAGATTTTGATCCCATACAGAGATGACTCCACAGGTCAGCAGAGGGTTTGTTTTTTTCTCTCCGTAACTAAATCTCTTGAAAAGTGAGGCTCTTGAAGGATGCACATTAAGTTTTTGTATGTGTGGTAATTACATGGGTGACACTGAGCTAGGTTCTAGAAAGAAGGCGCACACCATCTTTGGTTGGCCAACAATTTTGATAATTTCAGCACTACTCCCAAAAGAATATTACATCTAAACTAATCTACCTTCATGCAAATTCAGGTTTTACATCATTCAGCACTACTCCCAAAAGAATATTACATCTAAACTAATCTACCTTCATGCAAATTCAGGTTTTTACCATCCAAGAACCAGGGTGGAAACAGTTCAACATGATCATGGCAAAATCAACTCCTGATGCTCTTCCATCTATGACAGGTCAGTGTGGGAGGCAGGGGGATGATGGGGAGGATGGATTCTGGCTCAATATTATATGCAGGAGACAGATTGTTTTTATGGTTTCCTGGACTAAATTCTTGCTCCTGTAAGTTCCATCCCCTCAGTGACATACCATTTTCCAACCAGCACCTCACAGCCCACCAAAGGGGACAGGTGTGTTATCCTTTCTGTGAAGTATGCAGCACAGGCTTCCAAGACTTATGGCACATCTTGGTAGATTCCTCTCCAGATGTCACAATGGTTTGCTCCAATGAACCACTACGAATGTTTATCCTATACCCTTTAGCTGTCTGTAGTGATGGGAAGAGTACCTTTCTTTGATGCTTAGAATTTCACTTCATGAAGACTTCAAAAAGGAGAGAATGAATACTATTTTCTAATTCTTATATTTTCTTAGTCCTGCATCATCAAGCCAGTCACTGTTGTTGTTATTCTAACTACATGAGAGAGGTAGAACTTTAATGATCATTTCATTAATGATCCCAAAACTTTCATGTTCATTCTCTTTCCATCTCCTGAAATCTTTCTGCTATGATATTCCCAGTAACTGAACAAATAAGAAGGGATTGCCCTTTCATAATAAAACTGTGCTAAAGAGGACTTCAGGACTTTCTGACTTGTGTGTGAAAACAGTAAGGTAGACAGGTCACATTCCATTCACAATTTTGGCCTTCTTTTTATATGGTATGTAACAGTAAGTGATATTAACATTGTTTAGTGAGAAGCAGTGGTTCTAATAAGGTATTGAATAACTGAGTATCTGGACATCTTATTTGTCTTTTTTCTTTTTGACACGAAGTCTCACTCTTGTCGCCCAGGCTGGAATGCAATGGCGTGATCTCAGCTCACTGCAACCTCCGCCTCCCAGGTTCAAGTGATTCTCCTGCCTCAGCCTCCCGAGTAGCTGGGATTACAAGTGGCTGCCACCATGCCTGGCTACTTTTTGTATTTTTAGTAGAGACAGGGTTTCACCATGTTGGCCAGGCTGGTCTAGAACTCCTGACTTCAGGTGATCCACCCACCTCGGCCTCCCAAAATGCAGGGATTACAGGCATGACCCACCGCACCCAGCCTGGACATCTTATTTTTCATACCCCTTAATTCATATATAACAATAGGTAGCAGCACGCTTACACATCTTTTGGACTCAATTTCTTTGGCTAGATTTTTATGATTATTTTGTTGACTTCTTTCAACCAATTCAGGCTAGAGAAATTTCCTTTATCAAAATTAGCTTTTCTATTACTATATGAACTTTGGAAGGTTTTCAAGATAGAGTAGGAAGCATCTGAAACGGTAAATTATAAAATATATCTATTTAAAAAGAAATTCAAATCCCCAGAGAGTCTTTCCCTAGAAAAATTTTGCTGATTTCAGCACCACTCCTAGATAAGTATTAAATCTAAGCCATTCCATTTTCATGCAAATTCAGATTTTTATCCTCTTAAAACATAGACACATTCTTTCCACTTCCCACAACCAGATGAGAAAACAAAATTGTATTCCACAAGGAAAAACACAAACTGCTATTTCCAACAGTTAAAACTGAAAACCACTCCTTATTTTCAGCAGTAGCAGATCAATTATTATGACCTTTTGATCTTTTCATCTGGCTTCTGCTAATGACAATTTTCTTCCAAATTATTCAGATTTATGCAAACGATAATGCTATTAGATCCATGCTCCAGAAGCACAAGGGACGGATTACTTTTGTTGGTGCACCTGTCTTCTTGAACATGGCTTCATGGCTGTAACCTCTGCCAGTTTAGAAACTCTTTGCAGACAACGGTAGCTTTGACACCACTCTGTAACCTCTGCAGCACCCACAGGGCATGCTGCAGAGATGGGTGCTCAGACATTTATTCTGTCGGTTTGACCCCTGTAGAGCAGCCCATAGTGACACATGGGCCCAGGAACCACCCTCGGTCACCCTCACTGCACCTTACCTGGTCTCTCTGTCTTTGGGTATCGTTGCCGTGCTGTAAGCAAAAACTTGCTTCTCCACCAGAGGAGGGCCAAGGTCCACAAGGCTGGATAATCCTGCAGTGCTCCGTGGCTTTTCTATATACACCAAGGTGCCTGGCTCCTTTTTAAAGGCCTGGCGGCTCGGTGAGGCCCGGTCTGGCTGCATGGTGTGAGGTGGCCCGTGGGCATTATAGTGAGCATGCATGTCTATCATCCTCAGGTCACTGACTCTGTGAGGAGAGGCAGGGGGCGTTTTGGAGCCCAGTGTAGGCAAATGGCTATCTGGATATTTCCTTGATTTCTGTCTGTACAGTGATTGTTCCATATGCATTTCTGCTTGCATTGAAGGGTTACAATAAGCACTCGCTGACCGGATGGCGGTGCGGTGATATGCAATGATGTGGTCAGGGACATCCAGTGGGTGTCCACCATGGGACGAGGCTATGCTCATCCGTCCCTCGTGATAAAGGTAAGGATCAGCATAGAAACCCTCATTTCTGTACATTGCGATGTTTTTGCCACTCATGTCTTCATCCGGCTTGACATCTCTTCTTTCTAAAATGGCGCTTGGGCTTGGAGAGATGGGTCTGGAGACTGGCAGGCTGGAGATTCTGTCCCTGGGGATGGTGGCATTGCCAGGAACAACCATGGAGCGGGTACCCCCATAAGGAATTCTGGACGGGGAGGGGGGCATGGAATGGGGCACCGGAGTAGACGGTGGGGAATTTGGAATTGCATGGGGTGGATGAGCAGTAGATCCAGGGCGAGAGGCCCCAGGGCCATCTCCTCTTGCATAAACAAGTTCTCTCTGCATCTGAAAAGAAAACAAAGGATTAGAAAGTTGACTTTGATACTCATGTTTCAAGAGAAGTCTCAGTGTGTAACTGTGTGGCTTCCCCTGCAAGATGTACACACCCGCATCCTGGAATCTGTAAATATGTTTCCCTACATGGCAGAAGAGGCTTTGCAGATGGGGTGGAGCTAAGGATGGTGAGATGGGAGATCTTTATCCTGGTGGACTCGAGGCAATCACAAGGGTCTTTATGCGTGTAGGAGGGAGGCAGGGAAATCAGCTCCAGGGGAGATCTATGATGATAAAAGTTGAGTTAGAAGAGTTTGGAAGGTGCTATGAGAAGGGGCCACGAGCCAAGGAATGTGGGCAGCTCCCAGAAGCTGGAAAAGGTGAGGAAATGGATCCCGCTCTGGAGCCTCCAGAGGGAGGGTGATCCTGCTGACACACTGATATTGATGTGCAAAATCCACTTGGGACTTCTGATCTCTATAAAAGTAAAATGATACATCTATGGTGTTTTAAAAAATTATGGCGTTTTGAGCCACTAAATTTATGATAACTTGTTACAGCAACCACAAGAAATGAATACACCTGATGGAGAGTGCAATTTTGTGGGGTTTCAGGAAAAAATAGTGTGGTGGCTTAAATTTTAATGTCACAGCTTCTTAGAGACGCTGCTTAATAAACGCAGGTCTAGTGTATCAATAGTGCTAATGTTGCCTCTTCTAAAACTTGTCCTGAGCACATTTTTCTACCTTTAGCCCTGGGAAATAGTAACCATGTTTCCCACCTTTCCAAGTGGATACAATCTAGGGAGATGAGCAGGGGGAAAGGATATACATGGAGGAAAACCTGGAAGGTAAGTTTCATTCATTCACCAACTCTTCACTTAAGCCTATGATAAATCAGCACGGAGAGGCTGGAAGGAAATAATTAAGCAATAAGAGTACCATGGCAGTGGACCCTTGAAGAATACAATTTTGAACTGTGCGGGTCGACTTATTCACAGATATCCTTCTTCCCCTGCTACTCCTGAGAGAGCAAGGCCAAGCCCTTCTCTTCCTCCTCCTCACCTATTCAACATGAAGTTGACGAGGATGAAGACTTTTATGATGATCCACTTCCACTTAATAAACAGGAAACAGATTTTTTTTCTTCCTTATGGTTTACTTAAGAACATTTGCTTTTATCCAGCTTACTTTATTGTGTGGATATAATATATAATATATATAACATACAAACTATGTGTTCATCGACTATTCATGTCATCTGTAAGCATTCTGATCAGCAGTAGGCTGTAAGTAGTTGTGGGGAGGTAAAAGTTCTGCGCAAATTTTTTTTTTTTTTTTAGATGGAGTCTTGTTCTGTCTCCCAGGCTGGAATGCAGTGGCGTGATCTCAGCTCACTCACTGTAATCTCTGCCTCCTGGGTTCAAGTGATTCTTCTACCTCAGCTTCTCAAATAGCTGGGATTACAGGCGTGGGCCACCATGCCCAGCTAATTTTTATATCTTTAGTAGAGACTGGGTTTCACCATGTTGGCCTGGCCAGTCTCGAACTCCTGACCTCAGGTGATCTGCCTGCCTCGGCCTCCCACAGTGCTGGGATTACAGGCATGAGCCACCGTACCTGGTCTCTACACAGATTTTTTATTTTATTGTTTTACTGTGTGTGGCAGTTAGCATCCCTAACTCCCACCTTGTTCAATGGTCAACTGTAATTTGCAACTATGCTACTGTGTTTAGCAAGGGAGTAGAATGAAAAATACAAACTAATTCAGGATATGATGATTTCATATATTTTTGCTTTGCTCAAGGTGCCATGGGGAAATGCCCACTGAGATTCTCCAAATAACTGAGGGAAGGAGAGACAAGCTCCACTCATTCTTCAAGTTCTATTGGTGAGGTCACAGGAGCCCACAGTCCCTATCCTGACTTCCAGGAGATGTGACAGACAAGAAGGGTATAAATGGATGGAGGGTGGATGAGGTAGGGACCTGAGGAGAGAGGTGGGGGCTCGAATGGCAAGAACCAAGATTAGCAGCCAAGAGACCCCATGATGTGGGTGACGCAGATGAGAGTAGGGATAGTAGAGGCACCAGGAGAAGGTTGAAAATGAAACAGAGCCTAATGCACAGGATACAAACTAACTGCTTCTTTATCATAAAAACTCATTGCATGTAGTAAAGGGTATTTACCAAGCACTTGGTAAATGCTTGGCATTATTCTAGGATGTAGTTCTAAACAAGCCCCAAGCCCCACGGAAACTCCCAAGCGCCATGGAGAGGGCACCTTCTTTCTTAAACTTCGTAGATGCTAATGCAGGAACAACCATTGGGACTCCCATGGCTTCCTAATCTTGTTCCTGGAATGATCCAGCAGTGTAGAATCCCTGCCCTGTGAGTTGTACATAGAGAAGTGGATTTCATAATGAAAGTGACCAATGAGAAGTGCAAATAAGGTGTGAATATGTAGCAACAAAATGGAGCCCTTTTTGAATACATGACCTGGGCACTGCAGAATTGACCTCCTGGCTCCTGTAGGGGCTGACTATTTCTGGACCCCCTGGAGTTTGCAGACTCCTCCCTCACAATCACAATTTTATCTCCACTTCCCCCTTATTCCCCTCCCAAGACTCACACACAGAGCTCCCACTATGATAGGCTAATCTGTTCTCCCTTCCCTAAACCTAACTTGTGATATGCTGATGCTGTCCAGGGTCTCTCTCCTCATATCCTAGTTCTTGTGGATCCATACCTAGGTTTGTGGTCAGGCTCCAAGTGCGTCTGCTCTGCATGGCCCCTGCCCTGATGCTCCAGCCCATGAGGTCCTCCCTGCTCACTGGACACCCTCATGACTCAGACGCTCAGTGCTTTAGACCAGAAGGGACAGTCCCAAGGTCATTGTGTGATAATACACCTGACTGATGCTCATTCCAGGGAGGCTGAGCAACCCCGTGACACAGGTTTTGCAGGAGAGCAACACGGATGCTCTATAAATACCTCTCTCACTCTGCCTTCACAATTCAGAGCCCAATAAAAAGCAATGTATGGCTCAGCAGGAAGCAGCACAGGGCTTCACAGGTCATAAAATACAGGAGGGACTGGCTCAGTGAGCAGCGGATATCTGGGCAAATTCCCCACATAATCAGATTACACAATGCAATAACCAACCAAAACCAACATCGAGATAAATTCATCACATCGACTCAAACATGCCACTGTTTATAAAGCATTACATGGTGTCCAAGGCAAATCACATACAACAAATGGTAGGTACTGTTGTCATTATTGTTATTAATTCCAGAAAAATATTTAAAATGTGTAGAACTGTCTAGGCACAGTGGCTCACGCCTGTAATCCCAGCATTTCGGGAGGCCGAGGCAGGTGGATTATCTGAGGTCAGGAGTTCAAGACCAGCCTGGCTAACATGGCAAAACCCCCTCTCTACTAAAAATATAAAAATTAGCTGGGCATGGTGGCGTGCGCCTGTAGTCCTAGCTACTCGGGAGGCTGAGGCAGGAGAATTGCTTGAACCCAGGAGACGGAGGTTGCAGTGAGCCGAGATAACACCACTGCACTCCAGCCTGGGTGACAAAGTGAGACTCCGTCTCAATCAGTCAATAAAATATCTAGAACCCTCTTTGTATGAACAACAGTCCTAACTAGGTCAATCACTATTCCCTGTTCTCTTTTCCTTCCTTAGCCACCTTCAGAATACATCTTGATCTGGGGGACTATGACCTCAATTAACCAGCAGAAACGTTCCTCTTTTTGGCAGGAATGTAAAAAGGGACATTAAGATTCTAGGGGCTGGGTGCAGTGGCTCATGCCTATAATCCCAACATTTTGGGAGGCTGAGGTGGGCAGATCACTTGAGGCCAGGAGTTTGAGACCAGCTTGGGCAACATGGTGAAACCCCATCTCTATAAAAAATACAAAAATTAGCCAGGCGTGGTGCATGTGCCTGTAATCCAGCTAATCAGGAGACTGAGGCACAAGAATTGCTTGAGCCTGGGAGGCAGGGGTTGCAGTGAGCCAAGAATGCACCTCAGTACTCCAACCTGGGTGACACAGCAAGACTGTCTGTCTCAAATAAAATAAAATAAAATAAAATAAAATAAAATAAAATAAAATATTCTAGGCAGTATAGAACTGTCCAGAAGGATAAAGAATATTAGTAAAAAGAAAATGTAAAATTTATTTAAATTCATAAAAGGTTGAGTACATGTCTTTGAAAACAGCAAAAGTATTTATATAGGTATTTTAAAAACATGCTTGGTGATGTGCAAAAAATGGTTAGAAGATATATAAATAACCTTTAAAATGAAACACTTAAAGATCTAATTAGAATATCTCATTAGATTTTCTAGTGGTATGTGTAGATGAGATTAGAAAGAAAAATAACAATTAACTTAAAGTAATTCTAATACATTATATTGGGCATTCATGTGGGAAATGTCGGTGATAGTCGAAATATTTGACAGCTAATATCCAGTATGGCATGGACACCAACCAACCAGAATGGGACTTCAGCCAATGAGGATGGATGCTTGCCATGAACAGTCAGCATCCTGGATCTGGAGCTAATCCTGTGTGTCTTCCCTGCCCCGTCCACTTCAAAATAATCTTGCCATCATCCAAAAGGGTCATCAAAAGAGTCACCGTCAACCTGAGTTGTCCACAGTGGCACTGAATACAAACATTCGGTTATGACAGAATTGGTAATCTGAGGTTGAATGTCTCTATCAACACAGGTGACTTAGATGTTGGAAGTCTTGGCAGAATTCTCATGTTGGTTTGCCAAGTTATGACTGACTTTCCAAAACGGAGTTTTAAAAAGAACCAGGATCATGTATTTCATCCTCGGCTCTAAATAGAGCCCAGAAGAAAAATGACACAATGATCCCAATATAGAGTGGGAAAATGTGTTTTAAAACCACAACTAGAATGAACCCTTACGATCAGACAACTTGGGAATCCTACTATAAAAGACGGGGAGCAGCCTAAGGCGACCCGCTCTT